GGACTGCCAAGACTTCTCAAATATGATGGAAAGTGGCTTAGCAATTTCATAGAATCACAGAATCATAGAATGGCCTAGGCTCGAAGGGACCTTAGAGATCATCTAGTCCAACCTCCCTGTTATGGGCAGGGACGCCACCTCTCGATTAGACCTGGCAACACATGGGAACCGAGCGGGAATCGAATCCGTGACCTCGGTGTTGGTCCTTGTTGTCACCACCATGCTCAAACCACTGAGCTAACCGGCCCCCAGGACCCAAGGATGAATCTCATCAGGTCCCATGGACTTGTGCACCTTCATGTTCCTTAGATGGTCTTGAACACCATCTTCTCTTACAGTGGACAGTCCTTCATTCTCCCAGTTCCTGCCTTTGCCTTCTGCAACTTGGGTGTTGTGGCTGGAGCATTTGCTGATGAAGACTGAGTTGTAAAAGTCATTAGGTACCTTTTCCATACCCCACTTAACCAGGTCTCCCACTCCCTTCCAGAAAGAGCCCATAATACCCCTACTCCTTCTTTTATCACCAATATGCTTATAAAAGCCTTTCTTGTTGTTCTTGACATCCCTGGCCAGATTTAATTCTATCAGGGCTTTATCTTTCCTAACCTGATCCCTTGCTGCTCGGACAACGTCTCCGTTTTCCTCCCAGGCTACCTGTCCTTGCTTCCACCCTCTGTAGGCTCCGTTTTTTTTCCTGAGTTTGTCCAGGAGCTACATGTTCATCCATGGAGGCCTCTTGGCATTTTTGCCCAACTTCCTCTTTGTTGGGATGCAATGCTCCTGAGATTGGAGGAGGTAATCCTTGAATATTAACCTTATTTCTTGGGCCCTTCCTTCCTCCAGGGCTTTATCCCATGGTGCTCTGCCAAGCAGATCCCTTGAAAAGGCCAAAGTCTACTTTCCTGAAGTTGAAGGTAGAGAGCTTGCTGTGCTCCCTCCTCACTGCCCTAAGAATCTTGAACTCCACCATTTCATAATCAATGCAGCCAAGACTTCCCATTAACTTCACGTTCCCCACCAGCCCCTCCCTGTTGGTAAGTACAAGGTCCGGCATGGCACCTCTCCTTGTTGGCTCCTTTATCACTTGGAGAAGGAAGTTATCCTCAAAGCATTCCAGGAACCTCCTGGATTCCTTATGCCGTGCTATGTTGTCCCTCCAACAGATATCAGGGTGGTTGAAGTCCCCCATGAGGACCAGGGCTGGTGAACATGAGGCTGCTCCTATCTGTCTATAGAAGGCCTCATCCACTCAGTCTTTCTAGTTGAGTGGCCTGTAGCAGATCCCCACTATAATGTCACTTGTCCCTGCTCTCCCTTTAATCTTGACCTATAAGCTCTTGGTCGGCTCCTCATCATCCCCAGTTCTGACAGCTGCAGTGGCTCAAGCGTGTTGCTTGGGTAGGTTAATTCTTACCCCTTGGGAATCACCCTTTCCTCTATTCAGGAGGAGAGACCTGATCCAGGCCTTTGGCTGTTTGAGAAGGTGCTGTAGGTGCTAAACTTCTGTTTGCAAATGCCATGGAGGGCCTCTGTGCCTTGCTGTGAAAAGAAAACATCTAGAGCCGTGGTCTTGGTGCAGAAAACCTTCCACTGCATGCGTATGAGAGACGTGGCCTTGGCTTAGGAGACCACAGGTCGTGAATCTCACGTGGGCTTCAGCAGG